CACTCAAAGAAAACTCCACTGACAAATAGTTAGCCTATTTAGGATTCACTATGTTGTAATACTCATAAGTAGCGTTCCAGTTAACGATAAGAGCGTCCCTAACATTTTTAGCAGTGGCAAAGAAGGCTTTAGGCAACTCAAACTTCTCAGGAGAAAACAGAGGCGTGTACTCAGAATGGTACTTGATACGTGTCATTGTATTGGATATGGGGACAAGTGAAAGATCACGTTATTTTAAAACAGTGGGACCGGAGCTGATGTCGGAGATATATTCTTGGAGAAAGCGACAAGACATATGGTCAGTCCACTAGCAAAGTGAACCCTTCACGTGTAAAGCGTCTTGATCGTTAATTTAGGGACTACTTTTGTAAATACCCAATAGTTTAGTCCATTTTCAGTGATTAATATTTTCTTGTTTATTGAACGATTGGGTGAGTACTACTCTTATACAGTTATATTATTAAGCAAGCACACAGACTATAATCACATTGTCAAGATCCAACAACAATACTACTGCTAGTACAAGGTTTTATTTGATACAACTTATATGAACTAGAAGCATATACTATAATAATAACATACACTCAAAAACAGTGCAAGAAACTTAACTTCTTATTGAGTTGATCTCCACATGCAACTGAGGAAACCAACACTCAAAGAATATGTATTAAGAAAATCATCCTCAACTCAAAAACTCCATTGACAAATACAAAAAGACAGAGACATAATCAGCAATTCAAGAAAAACAAACTCTCACAAATCTTCCCAAGAGGATGTTCCAAACCTTAATCTAAACAATCTGCTTATGTTACAGCTTCTACAACAAATGAAGTTACCTTATTTGGGTTCAGAGAACAGACCTTTTTTTTTTTTTTTGGATTCAGAGAACAACAGACTAAAAGCCATACATAACCAAAGAAGAGAACTTGGATCTTTCATGAACCATTGGTCAAGGTTCCATCTTAAGTGGCAATGGAGGAGTGAACATTAAGTTTCCTTTTTGAACCTGAATCTCCCTCTTCTTGTGTTCATCACTTCCCGGGTTACTAGCATCTCTTGCATCCCCTTCACTGCCTTCTGAAGAAGAGACTTCATTTTCAGATTGAGTTTCCTCTTCTTCTTCAAACTCCTCGTTTTCTTTGGGGACATGTTTGATCTCCACAACTTCATTCCCATTTCCATCGTTTGATCCGCTTGTTGAGTCATCATCTCCCTCACCGCTAATGCTTCCCTCTGGAGTATCCCCATAAACCTTATACACATTCCCATTCTCATCAAACCTCACAGTTTTCACCACACGGCTCTTCCCTCCACTTCCTTTCACCAAAACCATCTTCCTAGCTTTCAAACCACGCTTCTTCCTTTCATCATCCCTACATACCACCACCCTTTCTTCCTCTCCACTATCAACTGAATCATCCTCAGCACTCGACGTTACATCATGCTTATACACATTCCTGTTCTTGTCAAACACCATGGTCTTCCTAACCTGAGGCTTCACTACATTGGCCCCAGTAGTTGTAAACTTAGAGCTACCAGTCCTTCTCTTACCAACAAAGACTTCTNTTTCTTCCTCTCCACTATCAACTGAATCATCCTCAGCACTCGACGTTACATCATGCTTATACACATTCCTGTTCTTGTCAAACACCATGGTCTTCCTAACCTGAGGCTTCACTACATTGGCCCCAGTAGTTGTAAACTTAGAGCTACCAGTCCTTCTCTTACCAACAAAGACTTCTTCACTATCATCAGTAGCAGCAGAGTCCAACTCTTCATCCCCATCATCACAAGCAACAAAGACTCTCCCCATTCCGTTTCTCAACTTCACCACTCTTCTCTCTTCAAAACCCTGAGGCTTTTTACTGTAGCTACCCACATTCACTGCAGAAGATCTACTAACAAACTCATACCTTGTAACAACACAATCATCAACATACTGCAAAAACCTCACCAAATCTCTGCTCAAAGACCTCTTACTACTCCTTATCATTGGATCAACCCTACCCTAAACACAGAACCAAACAATACTAAATCAAAACATCTAAAGGACATAACTTTATTCACAAAAAGTCAAAAAAAACCTGAATAGAATCCAATTGAAGGAGCAAGTCAGTAGCTTTCCGAGAAACAACTTTAAAACTGAAAATGGGTTTCCCTGAAACCGAAGACTTGAGAGACAAGAAGCTAGATTTGACCATCGCAAGCTCCTTGAGATGTCTGAAGGAGATGGATCTTCGGACAAGGAAAGATCGGAAATGGGTTTGGATAACTCTCGCCGCAGAGTCTCTAACCGTGGAGAAGTGACGGTCGCGACGCTTGTGGTCGTGGAAAGATGCGAACTTGTTGAGAGATGACTCGAGGTTATCGATTTTGCGGAGGAGACAAGAGAGGACGATGACTTGGTCTTGTTCTTGTGGGATGTTTTTGTTGTTGCAGGAGCAGGTTTGGTTGGGAAGAGGAAAGTTTGGAGCTTGTTGGTGGGTTTGGAGGTAGGAAGCGAGGAGGTGGAGGAGATTATCTGGTTGTGGTGGAGGAGGGATGCAGCAGGGAGGAGAGTCTTTGAATGTGCAGCAGTGTGGAGAAGTGGGGATGAGAGGGGTTTGATGATTGTGGTGGTGACGTGAGTAGGGGTGGTGGTGGTGGCGGGAGGCCATGGAGTTTAGACGGCGGAGATTGGTAGATGGTAAAGGTGGTTTTAACTTATGGAGTTTGACTAGATCGATGATCCCGTGAACTGAGAAAGAAAAAAAGACAAAAAGGAGATAGATTCAAAGCGTCACGCTGTCGTTGTCAGATAATACAAGCCGGCACGCATTTTATCTTATTGACCGGTCTAACCAAACCGGATTGGTTTTGCACGATATTACGAGTTGCTAGACATAGGGTTGAAGTAGGGTACAACAACGTTTCATTAGTCCAAATCTAAATACAACAGATTCGGTTCTGATTTTCAGAATATTTAAATTATCTGATTTTTTAAAATTATATTATCCGTGGATAGAAAACATCAGATAATTTGGTTTTTTGAATATTTACTGAAAATTTTAACTACTACACTACGGTGTTTCCATATTTTTTAAATACTATAATTAATAACTATTATTATTTTAAATTTAATTATTTAAAAATAAATAAATTAATAATTTTAGGTATATAATTTATTTTATTTTTTGAAAACTTGGATGTTAATTTGGTTTTCCGTTCGATTTCAATTCTGGTTTTGGTTCTAAAATTTTATGGTCCATTCGGTTTTACTTTTCTCGGTTCTGTATGGTTTAGTAAGGTTCGGTGTGTCGTTTTCGATAAATGTGCCCAGACAAGACGTTCTACACGGAAACGGCGACGTACGAAACCTCAAAAGTAAAGTATGAAATCGATCCCGTGAACTGAGAAAGAAAAAAGAAGGTTGGTTGAAAAACGTCGCGTAGTTTTAGCCATGGAAGTAAACCCGGCACGCATATTTGTTTTATTGACCGGTTGAACCAAACCGGATTCGTTTTGCACGAGATTTCTTTTTCGGTTATTTATGAAATCACCCCTAAACAGAGAGAAAAATGCGAGATTTTTGAACATTGGGTAGAAGAAGCAGACACATCGGTTTCTCTATCAACAATGGGTAAAAGTTTCAGACTTTATCATCATCTCTCAGTTTTGTTTCTTTTAAGTTTTTCATGATAGTTGTGATTGTAGATGAGGAAAGAGAAGGAGAGATAGAGAAGAAGAAGGAAGAAAAAGGAGAAGTGATTCAAGTGAAGGAAGGAGTAGCATCAATAGCTTTACTCCCATGTGGTTCTATCTCTGGTCACTTCATTCACATGCCTCTCTCCATCTGTTATGGTCTCCATGGCACTGGTAACAACATCTGCTTGGTCCTCAATTTTAATTAGATTAAAATACTTAATCTTGCACACTAGTTGCAGCTTTTTCAATACTAAAATTGGTTGAACTTGGTATACAGTTTATTTATATATATATATATATATTAAGGAATTTAGATCCGGTTAGAAGCTCGATTTGAACAAAATTTCCCAAGTCAATGTATTACAGAACCCGTTTCGCCCACCCACTAAACCCGAAAAACCCGGCACTAAACCCGGCACGTTCCACAAGTCTGATTTTAAAATTCTTAGGAATCGGTTACTGTTCTCAACCTTGGACAATAACATGGTATATAGTTTTGTGTGTCTATTAGCTTAGGAGCATAGTCAGAGAAGGAGTTGATTAGTATTGAAACTATTTTTTTTTCTGTCTTTCCCAAAGAATTGGCTTGTGAGACTGAGTGTAGCCGTGGTGAGGATTATCGGTTGATGAAGCTCACCATCATTGACTACAATGTATGTATGAGTTTATCTCACTTCCATTTCTATTAAACTTCAAATCAGTGTATCCTGATTCTCTTCTCATGACATTTCAAACAGAATAAGAAGGAACAAACAGTTGTAGTGGAGTGCAACGGCCACGATGCTGCTCGGATCAATGATGTTGAGCATGCTCATGGGTAAGTCTTCCTTTTTCTAGCACCTGTTATGCCAGAACAAAGCTATAATGGGAAGGTTATAGACTTCATAGCTTTTCAGAGACAAACATGCCAATGAGTTGAATGTTAAAATTTTTTTGTTGTGAATCTTGTAGTTGGGAGGAAGATGTGATAGGATTAGTGGAAGAAAAGCATGGGAAGAAGAAAGTATCCGTTTCGTTTGAGTGTGAGACATTGAAGGCTGATCAAGCAGCAGAGGACCATATCAGACAGTTTATGCCCAAACTTGCTGGACTTGATGCTGTTAGTACGTATTAACCAAAATTTCCTTCTTGTACCATCTCATTACATTTTTTATGGCTTCTTTCTTTGTTGCATCAGCAAAATCTAAGTGACTGTTGTGACTCTTGCAGTTAACATTGGACCAATGAAGATCACTGGACTTGATTTTGCTGCGGTAGAAGATGAACACACAAATTAAGATATCTGTTAACTCTTTCCTTTATGTGTCATATCGTAGAACACAATCATATTTTGTTAATGCAATCAAGGATTTAATTTTGTGAAAAAAGGTCTTACTACATGTTCTTAGCAACTCTTCTCATGCTACTGGAAATTTCTGCAACATGTTTTTACTTAGGATTTACTTATACAAAATCATTACGTCCATAGATCTGTGATTGGTCTATACCAATCTAAGGTTTTATTCACAAACAACGAAATCTCTAACATAAATGTGTTTCATTTTGGTTTTTAGATGATTTGAAGTAGACAAATGTAGATCCCCTTTGAGCTCAAGTTAGCTTAACTTTTGTATATACCAATTGTAGTATTTGAAGAAACCTCGGTTTGGATAGCAGTCTCCACGAACTGTGTTGTAACTTGTTCCCATTTGGTGATTGTCTGTTCAATCTCTGTTCGTTGTTCAGCTGTGACTGTCACAGACCCTTCTTTCTTGCCTTGGTTTGCACTAATGATTTTTCTGTGGATGGTTTCTAACTCTTGCAGAGCTCTTGATGGTAGTTCTCCATGGACTTCTTCACCTATCATCAAGAAGATAGATCCATAAGAGTTCAAAAGAGAGTTTTCTTGTTAAGTTACATCTAATGACTTGCTTTCCAATTCTTGAACCCATAAAAGACATGGCATCTGATATCTTCCCCTTAACCCAGAGAAGAAACCTTTCTTCTTCTCGGCAGTAACCTTTGCAGAGGCTATCCTTTAGTTTCTCGAAGAAGGACTTGCATTCCTCCTTTCGCGGACACTTCTACTCCAGGTTCATTATGAATGACATGACTTCTTTGGATGTCTCAGCCTCTAGTTCTGCCACTGTTGTGGCGCTGCTCTGGCTCCACTTGAACTAGACCCTGTGGGACCTACAGAACCAGCTGGACTTTTCGTAGGAATTCCTGTAGGACTACCTGAGTTAGAAACTGAACCTGTAGTGTCTTTGAAAGAGACTCCATTACTGCCGCTTGGACTTTCTTTTCCACTTGAAGAAGAAGAGTTTGTAGCTGTGCCTTGTAGCATTGTGTTTGTGATTTTAGCAATCACTGTAGTTCAGCTGTTAGCTTCATGGACTCTTCAGTCTCTTATTTCTTGCGTCCACCCATAATCTTAGCAGCCACAGACTTCATCCACTTAAAGGTTTGAATGGCTTCCTCTTTCTCCTCCCTTACCTATTATTCATGATGAAGTAAGTAACTAAAATGGTTCATGAGAAGCAATATAAAGTCTCATTCCCTTTACCTTTCTAACAGCAAAAGAAGCTATAAGAGACTCCCAGCTTTGGCCTTCATGTCCTTATCAGTCTTTTTCGTTTTATTTTTCCTATTGGGAAAACATACTTGGCGTATGCTCTAAGTTTATCAAAAAATTCTTTGAACTTGTTTGTCTTGGGACATTCTTTCTCGAAGTCAGCCACAAAGGCTCTAAATCGTTCACTGTCTTTGGATCTTCAATCTGTGATGGTTTGATCTTTAGGTGAGCTGAAACAACTTCCATAAATGTCACAGATGCTAGAAGAATGGTGAAGCATAACAATAACTGAACTCTTGCCATATTTTCTAGATTTTTTGTTAATTTTTTTTTGTTTTAGGTTAGAGTTATAGAACTAAGTTTGAAGAATGAATTTATTGCAATACAGTTCTTTGTCTGTTTTTTTGGCTATGTTCAGTGCTCTATGTTTAGAATCGTTTAATTATTCACTTGAGAACTTAATGGATCAAGGTTCAAATTATAGTAAATGGTTGCGTGGTTCTCACGTTTCGCAGATAACCGAGCTTCACTTAACCGGCGGCTAGAGGAGTATTTGTAATTTTGAGATTAGTGGGCCAGCCTCTTGAAATTAAAGTTGGACCAAAGTCGGTTAGGGTTAGGTTTACGCTTCTCTCTGATCTTCTCTACAGTTCAATGGCGATGTATGTTCTCTACGAATCATCCTCCGGCTACGCTCTGTTCGACGTGCATGGCCTCGAAGAGATCGGTCAGAACACTGAGTCTGTTCAAAGCTCAGTTTCTGACTTTAGTAGGTTTGGTCAGATCGTTAAGCTAACTGCTTTTCACCCTTGGCAAACTGCCCTCGATGCTCAAAACCAAGTCAACGCCATATCTGAAGGTATCTTTCTTTTGCGTATAAATCAAGAAAACAAGAAAACTACATTACTTACGTTTACTCTTTTGTAGGGTTTATGAGTGACGAGCTTAGAAGTTTTCTTGAATTAAATCTCCCTAAAGTCAAAGAAGGCGTAGCTCCTAAGTTTAGCTTAGGAGTCTCTGACCCAAAACTCGGTTCTTGCATATCTGAGGCAACTAAGATTCATTGTCAGAGCAATGAGTTTGTTCACGAGCTTCTTAGAGGTGTTCGTCAGCACTTTGATAGTTTCATCAATGACTTCAAGGTGATGATCATCTGATTGATTAATGTATCTTTTTTTTTTATATTTTGGATTCTTCAGACTATAATTAACCTGAGGTTCTTAGGGTGGGGTTATTAGCGGAAATTAGTAAACTGTTTCTTACTGACACAACATGTTCTTCTATGTTAGCCTAATAGTCTTGAAAAAGCTCAACATGGATTAGCTCAAAGCTACAGTAAAGCAAAGGTCAAGTCCAATGATAGCCTTGAAGATCATATGGTTATTCACAGTATTGGCTTGCTTGATACAGTTGATAAAAAAATCAACACCTTTGGTATGAGCACAAGGTTTGTTTTGTTGTTGTTGTTGTTGTTGTTTCTTATCCTATAGTATTAAGGAATATTTGATTAAGCTAATTAGTTTTTTTATAATGGTTTTGTCAGAGAATGGTACTCATGGCACTTCCCTGAGCTTGTGAATATAGTTAATGACAATTACATGTATGCTCAAGTTTCAAAGATTATAGAGGACAAATCAAAGCTGTCTGAAGAGCATGTTCCTATGCTTACTAAAGTCCTTGGTGATGAAGATAAAGCAAGAGAGGTCGTCAAGGCTGGACAAATATCTATGGGTAATAATTGAACTTATTGCATCTATTACATTGAAAACCACCATGGTTGTTGTGTTTGTTCTAAGACAACATTTTTTTTTTATGTCTTAAAGGCCAGGGCTTAGGACCGCTTGATTTGATCAATGTCCAGACCTTTGCTCAGAAACTTATAGAGCTAATGGATTACAGAAAGCAGCTATATGACTATCTTGTTGTTAAAATGAACAACATTGCTCCAAACTTGGCTGCATTGATTGGTGTGATGGTTGCAGCCAGGTTGATTTCACATGCAGGAAGTTTAAGAAATCTTGCAATGTACCCATCTTCAACACTCCAGATTCTTGGAGCCGATAAGGCACTTTTAAGGTGCATTTTTTTAACAATGTTCAAGAAATTGTTAGGCTGTTTTATATTAGATTTTTGATTAGGCGGGCGTCTAGACCGATTTAGAAATTTTATTTTTTTCCAAATATTATAACACTGAGTCCTTTTGTTTTCTACTGTTCTGCTGCAGTTTTTTTTATTAAATATGATGTGAATAAAATTTACAGGGCGTTGAGAACAGGTGGAAACGGACCAAAGCATGGTTTGATATTCGACTCTTCATTCATTAGCCGAGCATCTGCTAAAAACAAGGGCCGTATTGCTCGTTACCTAGCTAACAAGTGTTCTATTGCTGCCAGGGTTGACTATTTTGGTGGTAATGATGTTTGAAGTGCCCTTTGTAAGATTTTTCTGTACGTTGTTGTTGCATAGATTATATAATACATACCATCTATTAAATTACAGATAGTAGCGGTTCAGATTTTGGTGAGAAACTTCGTGAAGAAATAGAGGAAAGGCTAGAGTCTTATGTAATAATGGAAGAGGTTTTGGATGGTTTTGAGGAGAATGGTATTGCTCTCGATGTTCTTGGTCTTTTTTTTGAGAACTAAAGCTTTAGCGGTTTTGGTTTATTTTATGTGTATGTGTATACTCATGACTATTCGTTTGTTTCAGATGAAGAGATAGTTGATACCTCTGAAGAGGAAATAGACGAAGAATAAAAGCAAAGCAGCTGATGATTTTCAAAGCAAGAAAGATTTACTGAATGAATGAAAGCACATGCTCTACATTGTCATTATGTTTGATGAAGACATACAAATTATAATATGGATATTGTTTTTTTTTTTTTGAACTAATATCCCCTATATATTAATTGAGAAACATTTGAAAAGATTTAACCTCAAGTTTGTAATAATTAAAAAGTAACCTTGCTTAGTTGTCAATCAATTAGCATACCAATTAAACTGACGTGGCAGCTTTAGATTCAATTGAAATTTGCTAGGGAAAAATAATTAGAGACGCATATAACGCATGTAACATAGTTTACATTATTATATATATCCCACGCATGTAACCGGGTCATAACATTTGCGGACACATTAATACATGTCATGGAAGAAAAGGAAAATATACGAAATCATAATTATAGTAGGTAATTGATAACGATTTGAATATATTAACTATAACTTCATTCCTTTTAATTTATGGAAGTGTATATGTAAAATGGAAAATACTTTGTGACCAAGTTCAAACTTAATGGTAAGTGTATATGTAAAATGTAAAACTTAATATGTTAACTTGGGAATCTATTATATTAAAAGAGAAGTCATGACTTCTCATTCATGTGTGATTTTTTATAAAATGGACTATCTACTAGAGTTGGTCACATTATATATTTAATCATTAATAATATTCATTAGATTCATTAATAACATTTATTGGGCTTACTATAAATTTTTATTGGGCTAATAAAATTAGATAATCCATTGAATTTATAGATTGTATGATAAAATACATGTTTAAATTAAGTTTATATAATTTAATATTGTAACAGTATAAGTTAATTAGTTATATATTTTCGATGTTAACTTTAAAAATTATATAGTTTATTTTAAAAATGACAAAAATATCATTTTCTAACAATAACGAATCTATACTATATAATAATTAATCATCATTTTCGATATACATACCTTATATAATATATCATTTTCGATATACACACCTTATATACTATATACCAATTTAGAAGTAAAAACAAAAGATTTATATAAAAATAAATGAAAACAAATACCCGCGCGGTCGCGCGGGTTGAGATCTAGTTTATGTTAAAATTAATATATGCAAATCGTAAATATTAATGATATGATATGCTATTTTCTTTCCATAAATAAAACCTACGGAATTACCATAAATGACTAATATATATATATATATATATATATATATATATATATATATGACACTTAATGATTGTTCCCTAAGATATAATTACTATTTTATTTTTTTCCATAAATAAACCCTACGGAATTACCATAAATGACTAATATATACTCTCTCCGTTCCTTAAAGATACATATTCTAGGAAAAAAATTTGTTTCTAAAAGATCCATTTTTTACATTTTCAAGGTATGTTTTATTAAATAATTGTAAATTTAAAAAAACTTAATTGCACTATTTGATTTTTGATTGGTTTAAAATTATAGAAAGAAGATAAATACAAAAAACTATGCAAATTTATTGTGTTTTATTAAAAAGTGTGCAAAAGCTAGAAAATGGATCTTTTAGGAACAGAGGGAGTATATGACAATGATTCTAATAATAAATATTTGATAACAGTTTATATATCCTCCATCATTTTTCTTTAATTTTATATTATTAAAATAAATTAAAAAATCAAATTAGCTATAAAATTAAACTTTAGATTTTTTTTGTATAGGTTATATTTTGAATTTTAAGAAACAAGAATAAATAACTAAACTATTAAAATTATTATGTTAAAAGTTAATGATCAATAGTTTAACATTTTATTATAAAAAGATATACATGATTTTAAAACCATATAAATAAAAAGTATAATTCAATAATAAAACAAATATATATATACAGATTAAACTATATACCATATAAGATTACATAAATATTTTAATTTCAAAATTTGCAATAAATTTTCAAGAACATTTATAAATTATAAACTTATTAAATTTTTCACATTGAAATTTTTTGTTATCAATGATTTAAATATTTAGTTCTTTTTTTAATTTTATATTTTTAAAAGATATTAACAATCGATAATATGGTTATTTTTGGTATATACCATACAAACCGAATGGATGTGATTTTATAAAAAGCATAGGATTTGGATATGGTTTGATTTATAATCGATTAAACTGAAACATGTAAATATATATATATATTTATAACGACGCATGAATATCTATTTGTTACATGAGTTGAACTATAATTATAATTTGTAAATAGCTAACAATTTATTACAACTAAGACTTCTTATTTTGATCTTTTGTTTTTTTTAACAGTAACTAAATTGAAGTAAAGATTATAAATTTGATGGACAACAATTAGTTGAAATTCTTTACAACTTTTTTTATCTTTAAACAAACAGAGTTGTGTTCAATCGAAGATATATTGGTTTGATGAACACTAAATATGGAAGAATATAAAAACTTTTCTTTCATGATTCTGTTTTGTTTTTTATTTTTATTTTCAAAATTTAGTGTTTTGATAATAATTCTAGATTTGATCATTGTATTAGATGATAGAAGCCTTTTTTATTTTTTATTCTTCTATTTAAAAATATATATTTTTTTAATAAATGACTGTGACAATATGACTCTATATATGATCATATTATATATTTGTATAATATATAATATGATCTCAAACTAAATAATTATGTTTTTTTGTATAAAATTGAATAAACTGAAAATCGATGGTATATAAACCAAATCAAACTGAAGTACATATAGATTTAGAATAGTAGTTATATTTTAATGATCGCAATACCAAAAAATCGAGCCGAACCGAAACCCGATATCCGGATTGAACACCTCTAATCGGAATGAAACCGAACTATTGTTTCATTTTTAAAAACATAATAAAAATAATAAATTCATCCCGCGCAAGGCGCGGGTCTTATCCTAGTAATATTGATATTGTTGCTGACTGCATCACGTTACTTTTTATCAGAAAATAAAAGATAATGAAGAAAATAAAATAAGCAATAGTTTTCTAAATTTTGAAGATTTCATTTCGATTGAAATTTGGTTATTTTTCTAGTGTTTAGGTTTGAAGATTACAAATAACAAAGTTCTTCTCCAACCAGTTGAATTCATTAACATAGCATTTGATTTTGGGGTAAAAGATTCCAACTAATCAGAGAATTTTAGAAGCTGAAATCCAATGTTCTAAAAATCTATGAAGGCCGGTGCCTCAGGAAACTGATTATAAGTGAAATAATTTTTCTAAAACGGGTTTTTCAAAATTTGGTCTATGCTCTGAGTCTATCAAAGAATGCTTTGAACTTGTTTGTCTTGGGACATTCTTTCTCGAGGACCATCACTACTTTAACTGTGTAAGGGATTTATATCGTTCAGTGTCTTGGGATCTTCAATATGAGACAGAGATGGTTTGTTGATCTTTAGGTGAGCTGAAACAACTTCCATAAGTTCACAGATGCTAGAAGAAAGATGAAACATGACAACAACTAAACTCTTGCATTTTTTTAGACTTTTTAAAATTTTTTTTTTATGTTTTTACTTTTATAAATCTAAGTTTGAAGAATGAAAATGAATTGTAGTATAGAGGTCTTTGTGTGCTTTGTAGTAATGTTTAATACTCTATATTTAGAATCATTTATTCACTAACTAACCATTGAGAACTTAATGGATCAAGGTTCAAATAAAAGTAAAAGGTTGCGTGGTTCTCACGTTTCCAAAATCAAACCCTATGGCTTCACTAACCCGTGGCTAGTACAGTATTTGTAAATTTGAGGTTAGTGGGCCAGCCTCATGAAATTAAAGTTGGACCAAAGTCGGTTAGGGTTGGGTCATGTATATTTTTGACTCTTTTCAAAGAAGTTAGGGTTTACGCTTCTCTCTCTCTTCTATACAGTTCAATGGCAATGTATGTTCTCTACGACTCATCCTCCCGCTACGCCCTGTTCGACGTGCATGGCCTCGATGAGATCGGTCAGAACGTTGAGGCTGTTCGAAGCTCAGCTTCAGACTTTACTCGGTTCGGTCAGCTCGTCAAGCTATCTGCTTTTCACCCTTTGCAGACTCCTCTCGATGCTCTAAACCAAGTCAACGCCATATCTGAAGGTATCTTTCTTTTGCGTATAAATCAAGAAAACAAGAAAACTACATTACTTTTGTTTTAACTTGTGTAGGGTTAATGAGTGAGGAGCTTAGAAGTTTTCTTGAATTAAATCTTCCTAAAGTGGAAGAAGACATAGAACCTAAGTTTAGCTTAGGAGTATCTGACCCAAAAGTCGGTTCATGTTTATTTGAGTCCATGAAGATTCCTTGTGAGAGCAATGAGTTCGTTCAAGAGCTTCTTAGAGGTGTTCGTCAGCACTTTGATAGTTTCATCAGTGACTTCAAGGTCATGATCTGATTGACTACATCTGTCTATTTCGATTCTTCATGTTTTTTTTTTTACTGAAACACCATCTTCTTCATGTAGCCTGGTCGTTTTAGAAAAGCTAAATTTGCTCGTAGAGAAAAGGTCAATTTCAATGTTACTCGAGAGGATAATATGGTTATTCAAACTATTTTCTTGCTTGATACGGTTGATAAAGATGTTCACTCGTTTGCTATGAGAGTCAGGTTTGTTTCTTTTTTACTTTTTTTATCCTCTCAGATTAAAAAAATTGGTTAAAGCTAAGACCATGATTAACCCTAGCCTTTTAACCGGGATTTTTAGTCTTGGTTGGGGTTGTTAGCTTCGGTTTAACTAAAAAAAAACTAAGAACTCTTAAATACGATATATAAGAATTGTCTTTAAGCCAACAATATTTTTTAAGAAAAACAAAAAATGTCAAATGAACCTCGATTAAAAGACCGGAGTGAATCATGTCCTAAGTAAATTTTTATAATGGTTTTGTCAGAGAATGGTACTCATGTCACTTCCCTGAGCTTGAAAAGATAGTTAATGACAGTTACATGTATGCTCAACTTTCAAAGATTATAGAGGACAAGTCAAAACTGTCTGAGGAGCATATTCCAATGCTTACTGAAGTTCTTGGTGATGAAGATAAAGCAAGAGAGGTCGTTAAGGCTGGACAAGCATCTATGGGTAATAATAAGAGTTGTTGCATCTATTACAATGAAAAAAAAAATTGTTATGGTTGTTTCTGAAAAAAAAAAAAAAAATGTTTGTGTCTTAAAGGAGAGGAAGGACCGGTTGATTTGATGACTATCCAGACCTTTGCTGAGGGAGTTATACGCCTAACTGATTACAGAAAGACGCTGTATGACTATCTTGTTGTTAAAGTGAACGATGTTGCTCCAAATTTGGCTACATTGATTGGTGAGATGGTTGCAGCCAGGTTGATTTCACGTGCAGGAAGTCTTGGAAACCTTGCAAAGTGTCCATCTTCAACTCTCCAGATTCTTGGAGCCGAGAAGGCACTTCTCAGGTGCATTTTTTAGCAATGTTCAATTAATCGCTAGCCCGTTTTATATGAGATTTTCTTTATTAGGAAGGCGCCGAGTCTAGACCGATTTCTTCAAAAATCGGTCTAGAAAACCATTTTTGGATATCCCGGTTTTTAGAACACTAATTTTTGAAGACCATGGCCTTTTTATACTGTTCTGTGTAGTTTTTTTTTATTAAATATGATGTGAATAAAATTTACAGGGCGTTGAGAACAGGTGGAAAAACACCAAAGCATGGTTTTATATTCAACTCTTCATTCATTGGTCGAGCATCTGCTAAAAACAAGGGTCGTATGGCTCGTTGTCTAGCTAGCAAGTGTTCTATTGCTGCTAGGGTTGACTATTTTGGTGGTAAGAAATGTTTGAAGTGTCCTTTTGTAAGATTTTTGATGTAAGTTGATGTTGCATAGATTATATACATACCATAATATCCTATTGCAGAAAGTAGCGGTACTGAGTTTGGTGAGAAACTTCGTGAAAAAGTAGAGAAAAGGCTAGGGTCTTTACATAATGTCTATGTAAGGGAAAAGGTTTTAGAAGGTATTGCTCTCACTAAGAACCGGTTTGTGAACTAAGCTTTGTTTGGTTTGTTTGATGTTTGTGTGTGTGTGTGTGTACTCACTATTCATTGGCTTGTTCAGATGAAGAGATAGTTGATGCCTCTAAAGAGAAAATAGACGAAGAAGTAAAGCAAGGCTGCTAATGATTCTCAAAGCAAGAAGAAAACCAATGTGGAAGATGATGAATGAATGAAACCGCATGCTACATTGTCTCATTATTTTTGGTGAAGACAAACAAAAAAATTATAATATGGATATTGTTGTTGACTTCATAAAAACATAGAAGATGATAAGAAAGTTGAAAAGCAAAAAAAAAAAAAAAGTTGAAAAGCAATAGTTTTTCAATAAAGATTTCATTTCAATTGGAATTTAATTATTTTCCTGTCTTGAAGCCCTAATACCGTATTTGATTATGGGGCAAAAGATTCACCAATAAGACTAACTAATAATCTCAACCAAAAAAAAACCTAAAACATAGAAAGAAAACTATTAGTGTAGTGATCAATTTTAAGTAGTAATCTTGGGTTATGACATTAACATTATAACTTTTTAAGTTGAAAACAATAGATATGCAAGTTTACCGTTTCTCTAATCAAGATTAGTATTAACGTAAAACAAAATAAGAGTATATAGATCCTAAAATCTTAGGGGTACGAGCACTTTTTTTTGGTAACAAGAGTAATAGTACTTTTTACACAAAAGATTATTGAGACAAATCTCAAGCAACCATAGGGCAGATCCTCAAATATTACAATATACTACTAAGTACCTTCCTACAAAGATAAGAACGAAGATGATTCCAAAATCATGATACCTACATGGAGGATGAACCATTCTTAGAAGTTCATGTGACAATCTCCCTGACGAGCCAGTCAAGACAAGGATACGCGAAATAGAGGATGAGAAAGGACGGTAGAGCCAACAAAAGAGTGACTAGAATATACATAGCCAAAATAGCTGCACACGTCGGTATTGCATAGAGTATTATCAGCAGGAACATGACAACCAAAGGGAACTTTGCTGTCAACTGAACAAAGAAAACCAGGGACTTCCTCAGTGATGTCTGTATATTGTCCCTCTGAATAGGTTGAGTACGATGATGCAGACACGGTGTAGGCTCTCTTATGTGATCATTGTTCCCATGTGTTTGATTTCTTCCTGGAGAATTCCTTCTCTCACCATTCCTTCTCTCACCATTTATGAATGAGGAGCTTAGAAGTTTTCTTGAATTAAATCTCCCTAAAGTGGAAGAAGACAAAGAACCTAAGTTTAGCTTAGGAGTATCCGACCCAAAACTCGTTTCTTGCTTATTTGAGTCCATGAAGATTCCTTGTCAGAGCAATGAGTTCGTCCACGAGCTTCTTAGAGGTGTTCGTCAGCACTTTGATAGTTTCATCAGTGACTTCAAGGTGATGACATCTGATTGATTCCATCTGTTTACTGTTCTTCATGTTTTTTACTGAAACACTATCTTTTTCATGTAGCTTGATGCTTTTAAAAAAGCTAAACTTGCTCGTAGAGCAAAGGTCAAGGTCAATGCTACTCGAGAGGATAATATGGTTATTCAAACTATTTTCTTGCTTGATACGCTTGATAAAGATATTCACTCGTTTGCTATTAGAGTCAGGTTTGTTTTTGTTTTACTTTTTTTTATCCTCTTAGATTAAAAAAAATTGGTTAAAGCTAAGATCATGATTAACTCCATCTCTTAACTGAAATTTTTAGTTTTGGTTGGGATTCTTAGCTTCGTTTTAACTATGAAAAACTAAAAACCTTCTCTTAACTAAGAGATATAAGAACCGTCTCTTAAGCAAAAAATATTTAAAAATAAAAAATAAAAAAATGTCAAATGAACCACGGTTAATAGCCGGAGTTAATCATGCCCCAAGTAATTTTTTTATAATGGTTTTGTCAGAGAATGGTACTCATGTCACTTCCCTGAGCTTGAAAAGATAGTTAATGACAATTACATGTATGCTCAACTTTCAAAGATTATAGAGGACAAGTCAAAGTTGTCTGAAGAGCATGTTCCAATGCTTACTGAAGTTCTTGGTGATGAAGATAAAGCAAGAGAGGTCGTTAAGGCTGGACAAGCATCTATAGGTAATAATCATAAGAGTTGTTTGCATCTATTACAATGAAAAAAAAAATTGTTATGGTTGTTATGAAAAAAAAACAAAAAAACAATGTTTGTGTCTCAAAGGCGAGGAAGGACCGGTTGATTTGATGACTGTCCAGACCTTTGCTGAGGGAGTTATAAGCCTAACTGATTACAGAAAGACGCTGTATGACTATCTTGTTGTTAAAGTGAACGATGTTGCTCCAAATTTGGCTACATTGATTGGTGAGATTGTTGCAGCCAGGTTGATTTCACGTGCAGGAAGTCTTGGAAACCTTGCAAAGTACCCTTCTTCAACTCTCCAGATTCTTGGAGCCGAGAAGGCACTTCTCAGGTGCATTTTTTAGCAATGTTCAATAATCACTAGCCCGTTTTATATGAGATTTTCTTTATTAGGCGGGTGTCGAGTCCTAGACCGATTTCTTCAAAAATCTGTCTAGAAAAACATTTTTGGATATGCCGATTTTTAGAACACTGATTTTTGAAGACCATGGCCTTTTTGTTTTATACTGTTCTGCTGTAGTTTTTTTTTTTTTTTATTAAATATGATGTGAATAAAATTTACAGGGCGTTGAGAACAGGTGGAAAAACACCAAAGCATGGTTTTATATTCCACTCTTCATTCATTAGCCGAGCATCTGCTAGAAACAAGGGTCGTATGGCTCGTTGTCTAGCTAGCAAGTGTTCTATTGCTGCTAGGGTTGACTATTTTGGTGGTAAGAAATGTTTGAAGTGTCCTTTTGTAAGATTTTGATGTAAGTTGATGTTGCATAGATTATATACATACCATAATATCCTATTGCAGATAGTAACGGTACTGAGTTTGGCGAGAAACTTCGTGAAAAAGTAGAGGAAAGGCTAGGGTCTTTACATAATGTCTATGTAAGGAAAGAGGTTTTAGAAGGTATTGCTCTCACTAAGAACCGCTTTGTTAACTAAGCTTGGCGGTTTGGTTTGTTTGATGTTTGTGTGTGTGTACTCACTATTCATTGGCTTGTCTCAGATGAAGAGATAGTTAATGCCTCTGAAGAGAAAATAAAGGTGTAAAGCAAGACTGCTAATGATTCTCAAAGCAAGAAGAAAGAATGAAACCGCATGCTACATTGTCTCATTATTTTTGGTGAAGACATACAAAAAAATTATAATATGGATATTGTTGTTGATTTCATCAAAACATAGAAGATGATAAGAAAGTTGAAAAGCAATAGTTTTTAAATAAAAATTTCATTTCAATTGGAATTTAATTATTTTCCTGTCTTGAAGCCCTACCCTAATACCGTATTTGATTATGGGGCAGAAGATTCACCAATAAGACAAAATAAGTTTAAAACAATAGATATGTAAGTTTATCTTCAGACAGAATGCAATGATACATATTTTTTACCGTTTCTCTAATCAAGATTAGTATTAACGTAAAACAAAATAAGAGTATACAGCTCCCAAAATCTTAGGTACGAGCACTTTTTTTTTTTTTAACAAGGGTAATAGTACTTTTTACACAAAGATTATTGAGACAAATCTCAAGCAACCATAGGGCAGATCCTCAAATATTACAATACTACTAAGTACCTTCCTACAAAGATAAGAACAAAGATGATTCAGAAATCATTATACCTACATGGAGGATGAACCATTCTTAGAAGTTCATGTGACAATCTCCCTGACGAGCCAGTCAAGACAAGGATACGCAAAGTAGAGAATGAGAAAGGACGGTAGAGCCAGCAAGAGAGTGACAAGAATGTACATAGCCAAAATAGCTGCACAGACCGGTATTGCATAGAGTATTATCAGCAGGAACATGACAACCAAAGGGAACTTTGCTGTCAACTGAACAAAGAAAACCAGAGACTTCCTCAGTGATGTCTGTATGTTGTCCCTCTGAACAGGTTGATGACGATGATGCAGACATGGAGTAGGCTCTCTTATGTGATCATTGTTCCCATCTGTTTGATCTCTCCCTGGAGAATTCCTTCTCTCACCATTCATCCTCTCAACCATCCAAAGCACAAAGTAGTTCTTGTGAGGGAACCTAAGAGCTCCTTTAAAGACAAGACGGAAAGAGAGTTTGTTGCACCAAGGGCATGAGATGAAGAGAGGGAGCTGAACAGGGTGTGTAGGTAGCTTCACAATAGCCCATTGAAGACCCAATACGCAGTTTTTGCACATCGTGTGACCGCACCAGAGCACGTAAGGTACGTTTTCGACAATGTTGAATGATTCCCAGCAAATGGGACACTCTAGACTCTCCTCTTTGCTTCCTACAGATGAAGAAGCCTCATCATCATCGTCATCGTCAGAACATTCATCATGAGCATGGAGTGGTGGTGGTCTTCTTGTTTCGTGTTTCGGTCCGGTGAGATAGCTTGATGCTAGGTTCCACATTCTGGTATCAGGGATGGATAACATTTGAATGTCTTATATAAAGCCAAAACAGAGTAGTCTACTAATCTCCAACTCCAACCTTCATAGAGCTCCTCCTCCCTCTATAGCAAAGATTCAATCTTTATGCTCTCAGAAACGTTAAGAACATTCAAAGTACTTTCTTTATACTGAAAGTAATTCAATTTTAATCTAAAAATCTGATAAAGCAACTTCTTATAGAGCAAAGATGCAATCTTTATGCTATAAGGAACATTCAAAGTATCTGACTTTGTATTAGATCTTTCTAAAGGTTGATCCTTTATTCATCATTTGAGCTAAAATCTAAAAACTTTTCAGATGCAAACGTTTAATAGGAAAGAACCCAATACATAACTGAATCCTAAAGAATCAAAACCCACTAATCAGCTAAACGTAGAAAATCGAATAAGGACCCGAAATCGAGAAAGATCACAAGTTAATTGACAGAAGAGACAGTAAAATATCAATCAAGGGCCATTGATAAAGATAAATATCGTACCGATTGTCTACGACGAGGTTCTGCGCAGCGAAAGTCTCGAACTTTCTCTTTCTCTCTGGAATTTGCAAGTGAGCTCGTTTTGTTTAGAACGTTGAAGAAGATGATGGAAACGACACCGTTTTCGAAGAATAATTAATTTTATATTTTTGCCATACTATTTCTTTCATTTAGAATATTAGATGATGTGTTGGTGTGTAGTTTCCATTATATTCAGTAGACCATAAAGAAAAATGAAAATGAAGTTGGTAAGAAATTAATTTTATTAGACAGTAATAGACTTTATAAAGCAAAATGTCTATGAACTTGGTAAGAAATTCATGTTATTAGACAGTAATTGACTTTTAGAACATTATTATAAAAATAAGTTCCATCATTTTCTAAGCTTTGTGTTTAGATAAATTTGGACCAATGTGAACGCAATTGTCTTTAGGAAGAGGTGGGAACAACGGGTTCAACGGGAACAATATGAACCCAACCGTTAGCATCTATGGTAGATTACGATTTGCAACATACGATTCCATCGTTTCCAAATTCTGGAGAGAAAATTGTGTTAATCTTTTTAGTTTTCCAGTTTAAAATTAATTGATAATAAGTAGATTGTTTCATGTCTTTTTATATATTACTTATGTCTTTGTGAAAGTCCTAGTGTGAGAGTTTTATATTTTCATACTTTCTCTCGAAATGATGGTTTTATCATTAATTTTGCCACTTATAGTAATTTAGATTTGAGTCAAACCGATTCAAGATCGATTAGGCCTTTTTTGGATCTGGCCGATTTAGGATTGAGTTGGGAGCATGTGTACGAGCTTTGATACTATGTTAAATTTTCTATGCTTTCAACTTAAAACCAATTTGCAATAAATGGATTAATACATGTCCCATACCATATATATATATATATATATATATATATTTATACTCCAGTGAAACTTTCAATGTGTGGACTTTTGTTCTAGCTGATTGGTTTTAAATTACAAGTACGGAAAACTAAACATAGTATCATTGTTCGAACACATGTTTTTAACCTAAACCTGATATCGCTCAAACCCAAAAAAAAAACGATCGATCTTGAATTGGCTTGACCCTAAAATTGGTTTCACTAAGACATGAATAAAATCTAAGGAACATTAACCAATCTATGTATCGTCAATTTATTTTAAGTTGGAAATCAAGAAAAGTTAACAAAGTGATTTGAAGAGTTGGAGTGCACATTCATTAACGTTAATGAGAGATTACCACTAATCCTCTATGTCAATAGGAAAAGTAGGTGGCTGATCGTTAGCTGCTCCAGGAGTGATCAAAAGTTCAAAACCACAACACATAAAACTGCTGCTAAGAAGACTAATGACCTTGACGTTTGTTCCATCTCTCTGATATTACTTTCTTTCTTCTTATTCTCTTTAAGATCCTTGGATGGTTTGGAATATGACAATAACAATGTCAGAATATATAGGGTGAGGCATTAGTAACAACAAGTTTTAATTTATTGCAATAAACAATTAAGTTATTCAAAAGTAACTCTTCTTGTGTAAATTCGTTTTCTATTATTGTTCAAAAGTAACTCATGTTATGTTACAAAAACATCTCATAAATTAGTGATGAAACCTCAATGCATACACATTAATAAAACATACACAAATATAGTCATAACTCACTGACATGAACCATTAGTTAAGAAACTCATTACATTAAAATAGTTTAGATAACAGAGCCAGTTTGAGGGCCAATAAGCCCACAACCTCACCACAAAGACCATGACTTTGGACAGCGGAACCGATCTCAACGATACTAGAGCTACAAGTAGCCACTGCCACTACCCTCTCAACACCTCTACTTTGTAACTCATGCTATGTAACATTTGTCAAAGACTACGTTTTGGGTTGAAACATGTTTCAGAAAATAGTTTTGTTATAATCGATTTGTCGCTTAGACAACTCCTAAACCAATTTTTAGAGCACTGGTCACACTTGTAGATTTCAAATTTATTTTAGCAATTAAATGGAATAAAAACAAATTTCATTCCAAAGGTTCCTTGTAGAATGTATGGAAGAAAAAAGAATGTAGTTATTAAACATTCATAATTAAAAAATATCAAGAATGAAATGATATGAGATGGAATATAATTCCAATTTTATTCCATAACTTTTCCTTATTTTCTTAACGCTGATTTATTATGAAAAATATTACATAAACGATTCGACAACCGACAATACTATTTGCCTTATGGTGATCTACACCTAACTGCATCACCTGAGCCGTCCTATGAAAGTTTACGCTTGACCGAGTTTACTTGCACCATGTTGACCATAACTTTTCCTTATTCCATTCATTTGTATTATTTTTTTTAGTTCCTGCTATTCCGAAATTTAATAAACCAGTTACAGTCAAAAACTTTTTGCAACGGCTATGTTTTGGGTAGGAACGTGTTTGATATTTTCCAACATCAGTTTTGATATTAGAATATTTATCAAGACTACTAATATATTTCTTAGTCATTTTGTTCGTGTGTAATTTTTTATATATTCATAGACCATAAAGCAAAATGTCAATCAACTCGGTAAGAAACTCATTTTATTAGATATGATATTAATAGACTTTTGAAACATGACTATCATTTTCTAAGCTATATAACAAAGGGTTTTCACTTGTGTTTGGGTAAATTTGGAAAAATGTGGGCGCAGTTGTCCTTAATAAGAGGTGGAAAGAACGGGTTCAACGGAAACATATGAGGCCAACAGTTAGCATCAATGGTCGAAAACGCCTTGCAACATGCGATTCCAACGTTTCCAAATTTGCCAGAGAAAACAGACTCAAAGAGTTGGAGTACACATCCATTCACGTTAAAGAGAGATGACCAACATTTCTCTAAGTCAATAGGAGAAGTGGGTAGAGGTTTTAGTTGATCGTGAGCTGCTCCTGGCGTAACCAAAACCACGACACATAGAACTGCAGCTAAGAGGAATAATGCTCTTGATGTTTGTTCCATCTCTCTGATTATTAAATTTGTATTCTCTTTAAGATTCTTGGATGGTTTGGTTATGACATGATAACAAGTTATAATTTATAGAGTGAGAGACATTAGTAACATTAAGTATAGTATTTAATTTATTGCAAACACAATTAAGTTGGTCAAAAGTAACTCTTACTATGTAACTTAACTTATATTAGTAACAAGAAGTATAGTTTTTAATTTATTGCAAACGCATTACATTCTCTATTAAGTTGTTCAGAAGTAACTCATGCTATGTAACATTGTCAACGGCTACGTTAAGGGCTGGAATATGTTTTGAAAAATCGTTTCGGTTATAATTAGTTTGCCGTCTAAGTAACGCATAAACCAATTTTAGAAGATTAGTTTAATCCATTCTCTATTAGGCTAGTAACAAAACACCTTTTTTTTTTTGTCAACGGCTATGTTTTAGTTTAGAACATGTTTTTAACCAACACAGAATATATAGACGACTAAAGGAGAAAGTAGAAACATACTCATACTCATACTCATAAATTAGTGATGAATCCTCAGTACATACATTGATACCATACACAACATAGTCATGACTCACTAATACAATCTATTAGTTAAGAAACTCATTACATTAAACAAAGTTTAGATAACATAAGCCAATTTGGGGGCCAATAAGACCAACAACCTCATCCCAAAGACCATGACTGTGAACAGCTAAACCAATCTCAACAACACTTGAGCTACAAGCAGGCACTGTCCAATGCCCTCTCAAAATATCTGCTTTCAGCTGCTCTTTTTCCCAACCACAATACCCATGAAAGAATCTTACCTGAATTCTTCCCACCAACTTCCTCCTCACCATCTCTGCAGCCAATCCCACACTCTCCCTCGTCCCATATAATGAAATACTTAAATTTTTCAAAATTGTCCTTAATTTTATGAACAAATTAAAATCTTCATGAATGGCATTATTGTCTTTCGGTTTTTGGGCCTAAAAATTATATATTTTACATATGAATATCCAATAATGGGTTAAATTAATGGGCTAAATTCTCATTCTAATTATTTTTGAAGTTTTTTTGCAAAAATACCTTAATGGGAGTACATTAGTTAACTATATTGATATTATTTTTTCCAAAATAAAACTCCACGATTACATTCAATACATTTACACGATTCAATACAATCTCTTGGTGGAAAAGTTATCTTGATAAGGTGTAGCTGAGAATATGACACATGATAGTATTCCCTGAAAGTTAAAATCTGCATTAATTTTAAAAAGTTATATTAGATATTGAAATTTGGTAAATAATCGATTTTACAAATTAATCACAAAACTAAAAAAATTGGGCCACTTTATAAGTTTAGAAATATTTAATAGAAAATATAATGTTATTACATAAAGAAGAGTTTTCTTCCCTCTTGTGATGCCATGTCATTAAATAAAATGAAGAGAAAATGACACATGTCATGCAAAATTATTATGACAAAAAATAATGTTTAATATTAATCATGTGAATGCATTTATCAATTTTTTTTTAAAGAAGTATGCATCTTTTTATTTTGAGATAAAAATATATTAAAAAAAATCATAGTATCCATGAATTCAAAAAAATAAAAGGCTAAAAATAATCCATAATTTATATTCTTAGATATTTTATTTTATCAACATTGACAAATGTTAAAATTTACTGATATAATAAAATAACAAAATATAAATAATGAAATTTAATGTTATTTTTATTTTTAATAAATTAAAAAAAAATCAGAGACTCACTAAATTTGAATATATATATATATATATATATACATATATATATATATATATATATATATATATATATATATATATTTTTTTTTATGTGTGTATATGACTAGATTTTTAATAGTAGCACATGAGAAATTAATATGTATTAAATATACAAGAAAAAATAAGAATACAAACTAAATCAAAAGGACTAAAGACATCAAACAAATACAAAGATTCCCACATAAATTGGCTGAAAATAATCCATAATTTATATTCTTAGATATTTTATTTTATCAACATTGAAAAATGTTAGAAATTACTTATATAATAAAATAAAAATATAAATAGTG